AGCGTCGAAGAGTTGTCGTAGTATGTTGCCTTCTGCATTTCTGAGAGAAGAGGTGGCGTCTGCTTGTGCTCCGGTCCTTGCTGAAACCCGCTGCCGGAAGACCATTTGGCACCGGGGGTCACGTGACGGTGTCTCTCCAACGGTCCCCTGCAATCTGACCTGAAAGGTTAGGAGAGGCAGAATAAAGAAATGGGAGCGATAAATCCATCTTCCTTCAATGAAAGGCGCCATGACATGAATAGAAACCACTGCTTTTCTTTCCTCCCCCCTGCTCCCCCCTTACCCTCCCCCTTCCCTCTGAGCCCAGTGCACAGCCTGTAGACGCTCTGGTGGAGAGAGGGCACCATGAGGGCAAACTGTTCCCTCTCTCACTCTCTTTCTCTCTCTATCACACGCACACTTTGCCTGCCCAAATACACACTTATTTAACAAGCTATTAATGTTGCATTCTCATCGAAATCTTACCTTAATTTGTTTAATTAAATCACTTATTATTATTAGGTGTAAATAATTAGCAAATTGTTATTATGAATAGTGGTAGTAGTTGTAGAATTATTCATTTTTATTGATTCACTAATGGTCGTTGTTTTCAGCAAGTAGCCTAATGAGATAATTACAGTGCTTCACCTTTGAAATTGTAAATAAAATGAAATAAACTCTCTTTCTGAATTGTTTTAAACAATACTAGCCTATGAGATGGGTTGTATTTTTCCTGCTTCTTCTTTAGGTTATTTTAACGTTTATTATTTCTTGTATTTTTGTAATAAAGTCATATCATATTTGTTGTTGTTCTTCATGCTAAATGTGACGTTTTGTTGTGTGAATGTGGCCTTTTTTTTAAAATATTTTCCCTTTTTGACTGATGTAGGTAGCCTATTTCTGTCAACCTCTGCCTTCCACTTAAGATTTGGTGTATTCCGACTGCCTGTTACCTCACTCATCCTCACTCAGAGGAGTCTGTCTCCGGAAGCGATCATTGCTGCTAATGTTATTCTTGGAGTAACAAAGGAAAAACGTAGCCTACTAACGGTGATATTACAAAGGTCGACATACTGTGAGATGTAGGAGTTAAATTTCTATGATAAAAAGAATTATCTCACAAAAAAAAAATAGTAATAATAATAATACCCTGTAGGTCGGGATTAGATTTAAATACCTTCCCAATTCTATTTGGTTACAATGGCATGCTAAGACAAAATCAATGAATGAACATCTGAGTGTTTAAACAGATAAACAGATAGATGGATAGATAGATAGATAGATAGATCCCCGGAAGAAACTTCCAGACTCAGTGATCCATTAGGGTCGAGCTGCACAGGGCTCTATTATGGTCCCTTAAGGGAAAAAGAGAGGTAGAAGAAACAGCAGTGTGAGCCCCCATAGACTCCCTATCTCGCGCTCACCGCTGGTGTGGGCCTGTGACCGCGAGAGGCCGGCTTGTCAAGCGCGAGAGAGCACCTGGCATTCATCTCTCCTCTGGAGATAAAATGTTTAACGGGGAGAAGCCGCTGCCTCTGCCATTAGACAGCCCATGCCTCTGTATGCTAACGCCACAGCTAACTATTTGGGCTCACCAGCAGTTACTGATGCCAATAATTAATTCCCCGGAATAACATCGCGATAACTGGTGTAGCCATCAGTTCTGTTTTATGTTATAAAATTAGGCCACTTGCTTAATTGGTGGCTTGCTTAACAACGTCAATGTGGAAATGTAGAAAACATTTTTAAATAATGTGAAAAACGAAAAGAAAGGAGAATTAGTTTAAGCGGCATAGGTGTACCAACGTTGGATGAGCCTGTCAAGACAGAATTACAAGCAAACAAACAAATAAATAAGCTTAGATATTGTGATTTATTTTTTAAATAGCCTATGCGGTAGGCCTATTTTTAAAATACCACCAGAGGTCGGAATGATCCATTTAAGAAATAAATAGCAGATAGTAAAAACTGAAAAAATGAGACCGAATGCAAACCATAAAAATAATATCTTTCTTACGAATAAATAAACAATTAAATAATCCCTATGTCAAGTGCGAATATTTATAGAGTACACAGCCCATCTTTTCTTTAATATAATACTATTATTACTTTTCTTTTTGTGTAAGATTAGACAGTCCAGCCCTGCTCCAGCTCTCAGCACGTCACACATGTCAGCCATTTATCTTTCTAGTAGACAAGCTGGAATCCTAATTATTTACTCTGAGGAATAGTCCCAAGTAGTCCCAAGGAGAGGGAGAGGGAGAGGGAGAGAGAGAGCCCGTGGCAGTCAGTGTAGGAGGAATATGTTATTAAATCATATCGCTGTTTCGCCATTAAATGGGACACGTAATGTCTCTGCCACTAGCTTGTAGGGCTACAGCTTAATACAATCACCAACTTTACTAGACGCCTGCCTGCATAATCCACTTATACTGACAGAGAAATGGCCAACCAAACAAAAACAGAGAGAAAGAGGGAGGCAGAGAGAGGTCGGCCTTGGTGTCCAGTGTCTGTGCTTTATCCTGGGATATAAAATTACAAATGGCCATGAAAAGCTATGCAGGCAGGGAGACAGAGAGAGAATGCATTAACTTGGACAATCTACGTATTCCTTATCCCATTAACAGACACACAGAGGGAGGGGGGGGAGGGGGGGGGACAATTATACAGACCAGAGCCCAAAAACAATAAAGGATTGGCCTGATCAGAGCTATTGTTGCTATGTTTACGGCCTTGATTTAGGCTGACATCACCAAACAGTAAAGCCTCCACGTGTGAATAAAAATTACACATAGCTCTATAAACATTTCAGTGAAGAATAAATAAATATCTAAATGTAAGACTGGCAAAATAATAAAATGGAGGCCCGTGGGAAAGGGGGAAAGGGGAATCGCCAGGGAGAAGTGGCTCGTCCACAACAGGGAAATGGTCGGTTTTGTAAATAAATAGCTAGAGTCTAAGAGGCATAGACAGAATGGGAGAACAGATGAGAGAGGAAAAAGCACAGAAATGGAAGTCCGAAAGAAGAAGGGGGGCCGCTTGCAGCGGGTAGCCACGGCAGCTTAAAGCATTGTGAACTCTTCCTGAACCAGGATTGAAGTCATATGGCCATAAATCACTGAGCCAGCCACTCCGCCGTTCACAAACTGCACAGCGAACAAACACACCCTGTATTTCTGATTTGTCGTTGGAGCTAGTGCATT